GATGATGTTATGTTGGTTATGGATGATGTTCGGACAAAGAAAGATTTGATACATTCACCCAGGCATACTCCATAGAAACTGGTCTTGTTATTTCAAATGCATAAGCCTATTTATAATTATATGATGATATTAATAAGCCTATGCAATTTGCCCACCCTTTACATTCCATTTAAGAAAAATACTTGACAAGTAAATGGTTAATTGATATATAACAACAATAATGAACAGAACGAGAATATACCAGTAGGTATAGTGGTTTTCAACCAGGGAGGCAACCTCAATCTTTCCGCTTCTCCTTTTTCTCTCTTCAATTTGCCTTCATAATCCTCCCAGTCCTTAGGACGGTCTTCAGACACAAAATCAGCAAAACTGGGGCCTTCTCGCAATTTCTCTCGAATAGCATCGAGCTTACTGGTGTGTTTGCACCTCTGAAACTAAAGTATATAGAAATAACTACATTTATTGTTAAGGCTGAAAATAAAATTCCTTTCACTGTAATACTTGATCCTAGAGCCTTCTTAAATGGTATGCTCCATATAAAAGTATATTCTTATGTTAGATTCAAAATATGTGTTATCAGCTGACCATTGTAACCTTTACATAAACCAACAAGTAACTTACGTCATGATTTCTGCAAATTAGTGTTCTTAATCTATTGCGAAACATTTTAACTGGAACATGAATCTAATAATCTATCAATTTGGAATCCCTTTACCAAGTAATATCCCTAGAAATTATATTTTCAACTATTTTTCACAAGCACAACAAAACATTTCTCGGCAATTTGTCCGACACACTGACAATTGACTCATTGACTGACACTTGACATAACACTGACATTTTCAGTTATATAAATATATTCGTTGTACTTAGTGATGTGCATTTAATACATTAAATAATTTATGAAAAGCTCTTATTTTAGACAAAATATAACAATGCGCTAAGTTTACATTAAGTTGCTTTTCATTTAGCAATCATAACTGTTTTGAAAAAAATAAATCCATTTTCAAAGGTCCAGTCCCACCTCCCAGTTCTTAGACTAAACGGTAGTTTTACAAGACTAAACCCGACCATATTGGTGCACAATGGTTTGGGCGGACATGTCTGGCGCAGGCATAATGGTGACCCGAGTGACCCTATCCCATGATAACTAATCCTTATATTTAAAAATATCTGTTCTATTTGGGACCTAAGACCTAACCGTAATATATTTTATTCAATCTATCTCCTGGCCTATTACAAAGATATATATAATTTGGTTACATAAGAAATATTGAGCATGATACGATGATCGTTGCGTTTCCTAAATATTGTGGAATGGTGGATTAAAGATAGATTGGATTATGTAAAGTTTTATAGAAATGCATAAACGATGTATACCAATATATTTTGCCATAAAAAGATCCCAAAAAGTATACAGCTTTCAAAAACTATTTCTTCATTTTTCATAAACCATTATGTACAGTAACTACTCCAGTAGTTTTTCAACAGATGGTGCTGTTGGTAGTGCTTATAACTCTCGCCTCGCATTATAAGGAATAAAATACGTTCTGTGTATGAATATAATTATTGTACAATACCTAATCCTCAACGCTTTTGATTAGGTACGTATTCAAATCGAAAAATACCTAATACACATACCTACCTGTTCTTTGCCCATATCACTCCACTAGTAATAGTACTTCACTGGAGGGTCAGGGAGTATTTATGTTCTGTGGTCAGGGAGGGGAGTAGGGACGCCATCACGTAGCACGTCACACTACCTACAGTTGGCCAAACAGTAGGCTCACAACCACAACACTGGTTAGTGCGCGAAATTATTAAAAGTCAGTAGATAAGTACTGAGTATCTATTCTTTTTCATCGCTCGTGTTTTCTGTTTTTGCCAGATTTTGCTCAAAGTAAGTAATTTGGGGGTATTCTAAAGTATTGTTTGATTTGTTTTATTTTTGTTGATTTTTATTGTTGTTTAATTAGATTTGTATGAAATCAGAGTTCGGGGATACTGAATTGAATATCTTCCGTTTTTGTGTACATTAAATTATGATGATGCTTATTAGTTAAAATAATAAAACCACTGTCAAAATTAAATGGAATTGGGTATACAACGATTCAACTCTTTGAGTACCGTCATTACAGACACAATTATAGAACAATAGGTTGCCGCGAGGACACCGGTGTCCGCACACCTATTGTTCTCTAATTGTGTCTACAATAAACGTCTTGACGAGGAAGCGTACGTACCTAACTATCGTTTGCCTCTTGCACACCATTTTTGTCGTTATTTGTGTTAGTTTGATACTTTTCTTTTTGAAGGTTTGATACAGGCGCATGGACCGACACAATATTTTTAGGAATATGGGAGCTTATTAGCATTAGGATTTAGGTACCCTTAAAGCGGTAGGTTTTTACCCCTAAAGCCTTCATCTTAAATGTCACAGTTGGTTATAATGATATTTTTTATTAAAATGATGTGTATACCTACCTAAATTAATGTTTTCTTTAACTCAAAATAACTTTATTTATGGGTGTAGTGACTGAAATTAAATTTTCCTACATACTTACATCTTTATTTGATACAACTGGTTTCAAGAAAGTTCTTTACAAGGTAAATAAATAAATGTCTGAAAATAGTCCCCTTCTAAATTTTATTATTAAAACAAACTTGAATTTATGCCATTATGAAACTAAGCTTTAACTCGTTGCTTGGTCTTTGACAGTTTATACTGTCAAACACCAAGCGGTCACCGGTGACCGCACCCTATTGTTCTATAATTGTGTCTATAATGACGTTACTCAACGAGTTAAGTATGTCTATTCTGTTTGTACACTTTATTTTAAAAAGTTCTGTAGTTATTATTCTTTTCATATAAATTATTTTATTTTGTAAAAATAAGGGTTACATACTACTTTGCCATGGCGAAATGGCACACAGCATTGAAACCCAGTTATTATAAAAACCTAAGTTTTTGAAGTCGGCTTTTTAAAATACTTGTACTTTGTTCCCATAAACATGTGGGTGCAGCAGTGTAGTAACCCTTGCTTTTACAACATGATTAATATTTTTTATGACATGTAGCATATTAATAGAAAAGGTACATAACCACACCTTTTATCCCCGAATGGGTAGGCAATTATTGCCACTGTACAAAGTAACACCTACTTTTCACTATTTATGTTAAGAGGCCCATGTAATAGAGGGTGAGCCCATTGCCATAAATCGGCCACAATTCTTTAAAAAAATAAAAATCCTTTCAACTAGGTAGGTACCTACTTTTAAAAACTAAATATAGACTGTCAAACCTGCGCAGTCACTGGTGACCGCAATCTATTGTTCTTTAAACTGTCAAACACCAAGCGGTCACCGGTGACCGCAACCTATTGTTCTATAATTGTGTCTATAATGACGGTACTTGACGAGTTAACTCGTCGAGTACCGGTGACCGCAACCTATTGTTCTACAAAACCGACGTGACCGCTTGGTGTTTGACAGTTTAATTGTGTCTATAATGACGGTACTCAACGAGTTGATTACTACGATCGTGTCCGCGACAGCTCGCTTTGTGAATGCGGCCTTGACGAGGGAACTGTAGACCATATATTTTTTTCGTGTCCCTTAAATTCCCAATCCTCATCCACTTCCAATTAGTTTCCACCTCCTTTTAACTCACTTTTCCCCTAAATTAATCCATTGTTTATGCAGATTTATTATGCTAGTGAGATTAAACTATGACGGTGTCTATTATGTAAATGGTGTAATATATCTGTCTGTCTGTATTGTGTACATCCCCTCAACTATTTTCTTCACTCCTGTACATATAGGTACAGTAAAATAGTTGTTAATATTTATATGTTTACTAACCCAATTGTTTTGTCCTTTCAGCTACTAACTACTAAAAACTACCGCAAAGTTAAGTTCGACGGTTCATTAATCTGCCGTCATCACTCGACACTGGCAGTATAGTCGACAACATCGTATTGGGGACTCGGTTGCCAAAGAAGAAAAAAAAAATTACTACGATTCCTACATACATCTTTCGCTTCATCAACAGTCGTCAATCTTTTCATGCATGATCGTCGGTTAAGGGTACTTGGCCCTTCTTTAATATATTGCTCGTCACTATATGCGCGTCTAGGGCGCCCTCTACCGATGGCCCCATTCATGTCCGCTCTGTATACTTCTTTCGTTACTCTACTTTCATCCATCCTTTCTACATGTCCAAACCAGCGTAACATTCCCTTTTCAATCCTTGTTAATACATCATCTTTCAATCCACACTTTTCTCTAGTAAAATAACACTATTTTTCACTTGATCACTCAATTTTAATCCACACATACTTCTCAGGGCTCTCATTTCCATCGCATTAATCCTGCTTTCATGCTTCCTCTGCCACAGCCATGATTCACTACCATACATGAGCGTTAGTGTCAATACACACTGCATTACAGCAAGTCAAGCTTTGCTGGATGTTATTTTAAAATCAGTCAATCAATCAGTTCCAATTTATTATCACCTATCATTAGGTACCTGACATTCTGTTATCACCTCATTTCTTTCTATCACCAATGTCTTGTTCACATTTACATTCATACCTTTCCTTTCAAATGCATCATTCATAGCAGTGATCATTCGTTGTAATTCTTCGGCCGACGAGGCAACAAGCACCTGGTCGTCGGCATACAACAATGTTTTAATCACTGTGTCATTCATCCTTAATCCAGACTCTCCTACTTTCAGAACGTTCAAACAGCTGTCCATAAATTAAGTAATGAGTAATGTATATAAGTAAATAAATAAAATAAACTTTAGAAGCCTTTTAAGTAATTTTCTTAAAACCGTTTGCCACAAAAAAAGATCTCTTTGGATTTAACAGACTTGAGAATACAACAAATTATTTTGTACCACTAGATCAACAAACATAAAGTTATTTTGATTAAAGGAATCATTTTGGGTATATTTACCATTTCAATAAAAAAAAAAACATACATAGCCAACCATGACATTTGGGATGCAGGATTTGTAGGTAAAAGATAGCTAATGATCTCCCAAATCCTTAAAATAATTGTGTCAGTCCTCTAATTGGATGGTCGAACAAATAAGAAAAAATAATTGTCACTAGTTCAACGGTCGAAGTAATTAATAAAAAAATCTATTGAAATGTATACAGTGTATACCTACTACCTATAAACCGTCTCATAATGTGTTTTTGTCCTTCTCTTTTCTAGTATGTCTATTTGGCGCGGAAACGAACACAATCCTGCTGATTTCCTCGAACTTTTGTATGAAGAGGAAGATCCGGAAGTTAGGGTAAACAGGGTTGGTGAACATGATGTGCTCATTGATGACGAGGTTTGTAATGTTATAATAATAATACTTGGTGAACTATTTTTCCCATCAAAATGCAAAAAATGTAAATATATTTCTTTATACATTTTAGAATGAATTTTCGTATCGGCGTTCATTGCCGGAGGGCAGAGGGCAGGCAGGGAGCTTTCCTGGAGAGGTATTGTTTTGTGGTTTTCGGTTAGTTACTAGTTATTGTGGCGGTGTATTTACAGGTTTGTTTTGTGTATTTAGGATGAACCATGGGATAGTTCACCGGAGCGGTCACCTTCACCAAAAGCTTCCTTCTACGCTCCTCTCTCGTTCCCGGAGCCAGCTACCAGGAGGCCACCACGAACGGTAATACTGTTTTCTCTGTATTTATTACAGTTGGATTTCAGTGCAGTGGTTTTAACATTGGAATGTTTTAGGGCTCGTCGCCACGCGCTACGGCGTCTCGCGAAAGGTCACGATCCCCAATATTTTTGAATCCGCCGTCGCAATCGTAAGTTAATTGTTATATCTACAGATATTATTTATCTAATACTCATATTCTGTATATGATGTAAATCTTGCTTCTTATTTTTAAATTATAAATATGAAAGTTTGTGAGCTTGTCTGTATGTGTTTGTTACTCAATCACGTCAAAACGGCTGAAGAAATTAAGTTAAAATTTGAAACAGGGGTAGATTGGCTGCGCTACCGACTGCCGCGCAACGAGTAGCGGGTTCGATTCTCGCACGGAGCAACTCTTTGTCTGATCCACAAATTGTTGTTTTGGGTCTGGGTGTCATGTGTATGTGAACTTGTATATTTATAAACTCACCCACGATATAGGAGAAAATCCTAGTGTGGGACAGAGGTTTCTTAAGAAAAAAAAACATAGGCTACATTTTATCCCACGAGAATGCGGGCGAAACCGAGGGCTGAAGCTAGTATGAAATAAATATACTTAGTAAAAGTATAATATTATTACAACATACACAGCGTACCTGAGCAGCAACCGGTGATTCGGATTTCTGGGAAGAGTGGCCTACCGTTAGATGCTGGAACCACCACCGAGGTGGAAGATGGCATGGACGTGGCGGCGACGATCGAGGCCGATGTGGACACATATTTATCCCCGGATGCTCACGCTCTGTATGTGTCCCTAGAGGAGTCTAAAATGCACGATAGTGAAAGAAATGCAAGGAAATCTAGTGAAGGAAGGAGTGGGCGAGGAGGTAGACGAAGGGGTGTACGAGGACAGAATGTAGGTGGGCGTGGGCATCCGAACCGGGGTCGCAGGGGGAACAATCAGTGGGAAGTGGGACACCCACTGAATGAAATTTGGACGAAAGATGAAGATGTTCCCCCTGAACTAGTAAGTTTGGCGATGGATGTATTAAAAAGACGACAGTTGATAATGCAAGCTGCTGCCAAAGCCGAAAGGGATAGTAAATCGAAGGCTGATGACGAGAACGACAATGGTGATGAATTTTTCGACGCCATTGATGGAGCGGATAGTCTCAGAAGACTGGAAGGCCAGAACCTCCACTTTGAATGGTCGACTATGGAGTCCTTTCAAGGTCAGGAGGAAATTTTTAGACCACAGCGTACTACAGGTGCTGTTCATGTTTATAATTCGGCATATGATGCTTTTCGCTCCTATTGGAGCGATGACATTTTACGCTTAATTGTGGCTGAAACGAACCTGTATGCCAATAATTTATCTGCTGCTTTCCAGTCTGAATGGTATCCCACTAACATTCACGAAATTTTATGCCTTTTTTCGTTCTGGATAATGTTGGGGATCGTCAGAATGCCCACTATTATCAGTTGTTTTTCTGTCCATCCTCTAATGAAAACGGAAGTTTTCAGACGCATCTTCACACGTAAAAGGTATGAAATGTTAATAAAAGCATTAAATTTTATGCATTCTGACCCCACAGCTAACAATGATCCCTCCAACATTAGCGCCGCTAGCAGCTCTGATCCACTATACTGTATGAGACCAATAATTACTTATTTGAATTCTAGTTTTCAGGCAAATTATACTTTACATAAAGATATTTGTATAGATGAGAGTTTGACCCTATGGAACGGAAAATTGCATTTTAGACAGTATATTCAGAACAAAGCTGCTAGGCTGGGTTTCAAGACTTTTGAGCTTTGCGAAAGCACCACTGGTTATATATGGTCTTTCATTGTTGATGCCGGACGTGCAATAGAATTGAAGCAGTCGCCCGGTGTACTTAAGAGTACAGCTTTTTTACAAAAGCTCATTGGTCCCCTGCTAAATAAAGGATATAGACTATTTTTGGATAGTAGGTACAATTCGCCTCTGTTAGCTAGATTTCTAAAGCTTAATGGTACCGATTGCGTTGGTACCTTGGAACCTTCTAGTATGGATGTTCCCGTTGTAATAAATAAGGCTCCGCTGAAAAGGGGGGAGTTCATAGCGAGACATTCCGGCGATGTCTCCATATTGTCGTGGCAAGACAACAAACGAGTAACCATGATTTCCACTTGTCATGGTTCAGCTACTGCCTTGCCTACAGTGTCGTCGCGTCCACAATGTCGTGCAGTACCATTTAAACCGCAGGTGGTGCTGGATTATAATAAATTCATGGGAGGAGTGGATATGAAAGACCAAATACTCGAGCCTTATTTAATAGAACGGCAACACTGTGCAAAGCACATGAAACTCTTTAAACGTTTGCTTAATGTTTCTATTCTTAATGCTCGCATTCTTGTAGAGTCATCTTTACAGAAACGTCATAATCATTTAGCTTTTCGCCTTAGTCTTGTAGATTCTATCCTCACGAATCATCTTTCACTCTGTCCGGAAAGTCGTAGGTTTTCTTCATCTACGCACCAACCGCCGCAGACAATAAGTCGTTCTGCACATTGGCCCGTTCTGCTGGATCAGACAGAGAGCGCGGTAGCAGCTAACCGGAATTTCCGGAAGCGTTGCGTTGTGTGTCTTCGGAATAAGAAGGCACAAAAGACGCCATACTGCTGTGATACCTGCAAAGTGCCACTGTGTATAATAAATTGTTTTAAATCATACCATATTTCACAGTATTAATGCTCTCTCTCTTTTTTTTCTGTTCTTTTCAAAAAATAGGCATTGTGATAGGTATTTTATGCAAAACAGTGCAAGGTTTGTATGTAGAGAACGCCTGAATGTTATGATAGGTGTTTTATGAATACAGGGTGCAAGGTTTGTTATTCGGGAATATTTGTGGATTGTACATATTATAGTTTATTATAGATAGTTGCATTTTTTAAATTGTTTGCTGATTAAATATCTCCTGCCACTTGGTAATAATGAAATGGCTACTTTAATTTTGTAGTTATAGATGAAAGATTTCAGTTTCAGACTATAAAAATAATACCAAACTGAACTTCATCTTTTTGGTTTAATAAAGATTACATAATCAGCCTTCTGACTATATTATATCGCATGTATTGTGTACATGTATATGTGTATTTATATTCCAATTTTATAAGATAATAGACTGTCTAGATGATACTTGGGCTTGGGAATAAGCTGCTGTAATGTCCACACAGGTCATGTTGACATGTTTGTAACATATAGTTACATTTCTTTTTTTATAAACAATTTGACATTATTACTTTAATGTGACATTGTTTTTCATTTGAACATTTTATTTATTTTATTTATATTTTTTTTTCTACCTTGACATTTACTTTTTATTTTACAATTGTTAGTGCTAGGACCGTGCGAGATTTTGCCTCGCCATTTCTTTTCTAATTACCCATATTCTGACAGTTTGAGTATTTGTGCGACCCACGCAAATGTTCTTTAGGTTGGTGTTGTTCGTCGAATCAGTCAGCCTCACCTTTTGAGCTGATTGTAAACCGACACATGCGTACTGCCTTCAGAGCGGGTCTGCTCAAACTGTTGTGGTTCTTTCCTCAAAAGGCCACTACAGAAAGAACTTGCACGGTTCTCACACATAATCTTTTATACACATTTGTCTGGACTTTAAAAGAGACATACCTCTGAGTTTGTTTCGGCATTTCTTCTCAGAGTAGTAAGTTAGAAAATGTCGGCCTCATCGTTCGCTTGATAAAATTGACGTGTAAAAGTGCTTCCTTGAAGCCTATTAATTTGCAGAAATAAATTCACTTGTTTCACTAAGAAGTGTTCAATCAATCTAAAATGAATGTGATTTTAAATATTGAACTGCCGTAACTGTAAAACTCTCTTTCTTTATATGGATTGATACATAGTGTATGCTGTATTATTTTGTGTGCATATGAAAAAAAAAAAAATTAATATCGGTCTCTAAAAATGTCTATTGTTAAAATTTTATCCCAATTCTGTATTTACCTCTACTTACGATAATTTTCACGTGAGTTAAATTACTAGCATCTTGAAAATAAAACCATTTGTTTACTGAGTTTGTATTTTTATTCACTTTACCAAAACCTACACAAAGAACATGTGTGTAATATTGTCAATAGACCAGATGGACATTAAAATAAAAGTTTGAGAACTAAGTACCTTATTGTTTTTAGTCAGGTTAAATTTTAAGTTATATTATTGTAAACACTTCAAGCTTTTCTATAGTAACACATACTCTGTTTCTTAGATTATATTTACATGTACCTATTCATACGTTTCTTGGAATGTACTCTTAGATATTTTTTAGTGTCCGACCGAAACTGGTTTTCCGGCCGAAACCGAAACCGAATATTCGGTCGGGACTTCAGTTTCGGCCGAAACCGAAACTGACGAGGTCAACTTTCTGAACTGAAATTTGCTGCATTTTACCTATTATATTGTATAAATTAGGGTATGAAATGGAAACAAAGTATATATATATAATTAGTGTCCGACCGAATGTTCGGTTTCGTTTTCGGTCGAGTTTCGGTAAAAACACGAGTTACGGTTAAGTTTCGTTTTCGGCCGCAAACTTGCCGAAACTACGACCGAAACCAACCGAATATGAATTCGGGAGTTTCCGCGCTGTTATCGGTGTGTGCGTTACCCAAGCCAGATGTTGTCGACAATGGTCATTTGAGTCTTATAGATAATTAGTTGTGCGGCTTCAGTAATTGTTGCGCACATTTTTAAATTTGTTGCGCTTATAGTTTTTTAATTATTTCACAAAAACATTTCCTGCTGGGGTAACGTTACCGACCTTTTTCTTTCTAATGGGAATATTTAAATCATTACTAGCTATAAAATTAGTTATCTAGATGAAGTAAATTATTTTATTACTTAAATATTAAGTAACTACTGTTATTGTGATTATGATATTAGTAATTATGTGATTTAACTCGTCGAGTACCGGTTTTGTAGACACAATTATAGAACAATAGGTTGCGGTCACCGGTGACCGCTTGGTGTTTGACAGTTTAAAGAGAAAATAATAAAGACTGACTGATTATAATGACGTTTTCTTTATTTTCCCCTCAAAATACGAGCCTTATAAGGAAGTTTCGGTTTCCGTTTCGGCCGAAATAAACAACGTTGCCGAAATTCGGTTTCGGTTTCGGTCGTAAAACTAGTTTCGGTCGGACACTATAATCATTAAATATTATTAACATTTTTATATTTTTTTCATCACAGCATCACTATCAGTTCGCTTATCAAATCAGTAATTGTTACTATTTCATTAAATACTATATAAATATCGGTATTTTGAGATCTTTCCTTTTAATTTAACACATTCGGTCATCGGAATGAATAACTATGGCTTGATTTTAGTGTCCGACCGAAACTGATTTTCCGGCCGAAACCGAATGTTCAGTCGGTTTCAACGATTTGTTAAAAAATCAAAAGTTTCGAACGATTTTGCCCGAAACCGAAACCGAACTTACGGTCGGACACAAAATTCTTGTTATGAGGGCATGAGGGGGAAATCATCAAATGTCTTCCCAGGTCTTGGGAAAGCTTGTAATACCTGGCTGGTTTTAGACCTTTTTCCAAAGTTAAGTTCCATATAATATAGGTACTTAAGTAAGTGTTAAGTCCCTAAAACGAACTTAATACTTAAGTACCTAATTTTTTACTATATTTTTCAGTGATAAGACATCTTTTAATTTAACCTTTGACTATATATAATGTCAGTTTAACATATTTTTTGTTTATCAGTACCATAGGTGTACAATAATAGGTTTTCATTTACAACTACTTGATTTTCATAATTGAAATTATAATTTCTATCAAAGTTTCTATTATTTTTTACAAGTAAAGCACCTTCAGTACAGTACTTATACTAAGTAAAGCACATGGGTGGTGGTGGCCAACCAAACGTCAACTTAATAAGTAAAACTTCTAGACATCAAAACAATATTTTGTTTTGTGCCACAAAAAGACAATCTGTCTGTCATCTGTCAGTGCCAGACCGACATTTTGATATTTTCTGAGTGATGTCATGTCATTGTAGTTAAGTCAACAATTTATTAGTCGATTCTCAATTTAAAATAATCATCGTTTTTTTACTGCCTCGTTGGACGAGTGGTCGCAAGTGCGACGCCGGGCAAGGCGTCTTGAGTTCGATTCCCGGGCCGACCCGGTACTATTGGGTTTTTTAACAGAATCTCAGTAGTAGCACGGAGTTTGGAATTGTGCCCGGTACATGGCAATAGGCTCATTCCCTATTACATGGGACACAACACAAATAGTGAAAAGTAGGTGTTACATTGTACAGTGGCATTAAGTGCTCTAACGTGCACCTCTGCCGGGGTAGGCAGAGGTGCACATTATAGCACTTCGGGGATAAAAGGCGTGATGTTATGATGTTATGTTGTTTTTTAAATTGATTACTAAATTAAAGTGTATATTGAACTCATAGATGAAATTAAACAGATACTACTTTAGGTTTGAGTTTTATCTTTAATCAACCACAATTTAACAAAATCGACTAAAATTATGTTGATGTTCATCTCTATGGATTTTTTTTTATTTACACGACTTCAATCAAAACCAAAGAGTCTAGTGGGAAAACTCTGAATTCTTTTTATCAGACTCTTAGGGTAGGGCTTTGTTTGTGTAGAATTTTATTAAACTGTGAACAATGAATAGTTGTTTAATATGTTTTTGATTTGTCGTACAAAAAATTCTATAGAATAGTTAAAATAAATTATAAATAAAATTAGATAAATAATTAGTGACCTTGAGCGTAAGCAATACAGCTGTCAAATAACCTAACCAAGATTTTTGTAAAATAAAGATGAATACAAGTTTCTTTTGTGAACATTTAGTATATTTAACGTAGATATAGATAATTTGTTGCAATGGATGAAGCCGTCACGCATTATATAAATTCCCACCCAGCTGATGAGGTACGTAAATTATTATAATTTGATGTATTGTATTGTACTTTTTCATGTATCTTGTTTATTTAACTATTGATTTCTGAGTCCTAAATTTGAAACAATAAAATTGTAATCGTGTCTATTGAAGTGTATTTAAACATTGACATATTATATGTTTAGTTTACACAAAAGTTGTGTATTTTTCATGTTTATGTGTTTTGAAATTTGCATTATAATATATCTAGGGTTTTGTAAACAAGTTGTGGTGTATATCAGCTGATATTTTTGTTTACAGGCAGTGCATGTGGATGGAAATGCTTTGGCACTCGCATTGGTACAGGATGACGGTGGCAGCAGGGTGTCCATCATGCATTCTCAATCCTACTCCTCGTCGCTCTGCAGGTAATTCATTTAAAACCTTACTATAAACCATAGAAGGCTTAGGAAGATATATTTTTTGATATATAGGATACATAATTACATGTAAACAAACTACAGACCTATTAATATTAAAACCAATATTTTTAATGAGAATTACAGTGAAATTAATTTTTGTCACTATTATGTGTTTAGTTTGAAGCCTCTAGAGCAGTGAATTTTCCTATAAAAAAGTGGATTGTGAAATATTTCTGCTTAGTTACATCTAAGTATATAACTGTACTTTGTCTACTACAGCAGGCAGGTTACTCTGTCTGATCAAGTGGGAGATGGTCAGTGGAGTGAGGAGCTGGTGGATCCAGATGGCAGGATTGGAAGGCTGGCTGCTCTCATGGCTCATTTCCAGGCCCAGCAATCTAAGGGGCCACCACAGCTACACCATAAGGTATGCCACATAATATACTTGATACCTCTGGAATGGCCTTTAACTCGTACACAATCACCTGCTATAAATCCTAAAAATTGTTCATACGAAAGTAGTCTCTAAACATGGAAATAAGGTGTATAATGAAGTTATTGGAGGGCAGTCCCCGGAGACCACTTTTGGATGGGTCAGTTAACTGGTCTTCTGGCACTGTATGAAATATAATGGAATATAATATACTAATTATGGAATGGAATATGACATCATATAATATACTATCACAAAACACTGACGTGAAGCAGCACTTGCATTGTGTTTTGTCATGTGACTGAAGTTACTGGAGGTCCAATTACCCCCCCTCCCCTTCCCCAATCTCTCCAATCCCTGAATCCCCAACAATCCTCAAACTCCTAATCGCCAAAATGCCGGTAATGCACTTGGAACGCCAGAGGCGTTACATGGGCGACGCCGATTGCTTACCATCAGATGATCCGTCTGCTTGTTTACCAGATTATTCCATAAAAAAAATGATGCGTCGTCAAACAAGCAAACATACTCTTCAGCTCTATATAATTAAGATATTATTCTTTTACTTTCAGGTACAGGCAGTGAGAGGCGATGTGGATACGTCTATCATGCTTGATAACTCCATAAGGCTATTCCATGGCCAACCTATGGTGAGACCTATTATTATTTATTACTAGCTGGTTGTACCGACTGAAACTTTTTTCTCAACTTTCAACCTTCCCTAGACTTGTATGAATGTTTCATGATCAAAATTATTGAAATCGGTTCAGACGTTCACCGTTCTTGAGATTTAGCTAGACTAACGAACGGAAATACATTTATATATATATAAGATACATAGATACACTATAAATTAATAGTAAATAGTCTTTCATTAACTATTTACGAGAATTTTTTTCTTAAATAGTTATTTAAGCTGTTGACTGCTGACAGAAAACTGTTGAAGGCAAATTCTCTGCTATCGTGGCCCATATGTTGTCCCCCATGGTGTTCAACGTGTTAAAGCAGAACTAAATATTTTAGTATTTGCATAGTTATAAGTTATGTCATTATTGTCCCAGTAGTTGAAACATGAAGGTGTAGTACAGATATGAGGATACTTTTACATTTATTATAACAACTAGCAACCCGCCCCGGCTTCGCACGGTGCAGTTAGAAACCTCGATAAATGCGCTATCCAACACAAAAAGAATTTTTAAAATCAGACTTGTAGTAGCGCGTTCAAACAAAGAAACAAAATTATAGTATGATATAACATAAGAGAATAAGATATAATAGGTGAATTATTTGTAATTGTGTTTAATATAGTAAGAAAAAATGTACATTGTTGCAGGATCACTCTCCAGACCCAATGGTAGTGGAAGTTCCTCACTTGCCTCCGCTGCCACCCCTGCAGGAGATGAAGCGGTGCCAGGATAACGACTGGTTCAATAATAAGGCCAAATCATCACTTAAAGTGAGAATAAACCTCCTTTTAAAGTGCCTAAAATATTACCTCTAACCTTATGTTTATGAATTTTTGATAGTACATAGCAGCATTTATTACAGTTTTAACATTAATATATTTATTCGCGATTGCCTGAACCAGTATAACCGGTATATTGATGCGGTTTTAAGAAAAGTGTTTGTTACACTAGGAGAAGGTTTGAGTATACATATTAATTAAACGACTTCAAAAAAGAAAAGGAATTGAAGTCGGTTTTGTAAACTTAGTTTCTAAAAAATTACTTTATTTATTATTTATTTATTTATAAATAAATAAAAGAGTTATTTGATATCTTTAAATGTGACCGATAAATTAAATGTTGATAATATTTTTGTTCTCCTCCAACAGGATGATTCATCGATGATAGATTCCGATGGGCCGGTGTTAGAGTTAGGGGCGGGCGCATCACCTGGTCATCACAAACACCAGAACAAGAAAAGTCTTCCACATAAAAAGAGAATTTCTAGGAAACTGAAGAAAAATAATGGCAACTGCACGCCCCAGCAGGTCAGTGGATAAAAATTAATAATTTACTATGAATTTCAAAATTATCTAAAACTTACCTAAGATCTAGAAATGCCTCCCGACTTGAGTAATGGGGCAACCGTAAGCGTGGGCCTGCGGCCGGCGAGCATGGGTAGCTCGCCGCCCGACCAGAACCAGACCCGAGCGAAGGGCGCGTCGCGTTCCGCGCGCGCCTTAAAGAGCCATCAGACCACCACGGATGGGCCCAATAGGGCTGATGCCGATACGGAACTGCGGAAGCCTTAACGCGTTACCGTGGCTCTGGCTTGAAGCAGAAGTAGGAATGGGTGGTTTTCAGTCACTAAGAGTCTAACACTTCCTCTCGCCCCACCCGAGGCGATTTTCCTCCTAAAAAAAGTTAAGCATTTTGAGCAATGGGCTCTCAGTCAAAAACTATTGACGTTGGGTTTGTCCATTCAAATCTCAAGTATTAAGGTTCCTTATAGGCAAGCATGCTTTATCGTTGGTCGCATCACTACTTCACACCAGGCAAGAATATCTTATAGATCAATCACACCTTTTAATAAGTCAAAGTCAAAATCATTTATTTCAATTAGACCAGGAAGGCACTTTAGAACGTCAGCAATAGAAATTTAAAAGTGAAGCTATTTGCTCATTCCAAGGTGTAGATTCCTAAGGAGAAGAACTAACAAGAAACTCCATAGGATACTCATTTCCAATCAGGTTAACAGTACAATTCTCCAGTTACACAGTTTTATTGGTTTGATTGTGCGAGAACAATGTAACACCAAAATGAGAGAAAGAGTCAAAGAGATCGATACCTAAAGTATAGTCCACTATAACACTCATTTAAATAGTATGCGTGCATTGTATGCTTCTGTGACAATTTGTATTATTTAAAGAAAGAAAGAAAGAAAAACCATTTATTATGTGTACCTTTAGCTATTCCCTCGGGGTTACAAGGCGCTGTATGTTTTATGTCCCTCGTAATAGAGGCCTAGAGGGTGAGCCTATTGCCTGTGAACGTAAAATAAATGAACTTATCAGGATCTGGTGGTCATCAGCTGCACAGACGTGGAAGGTCGCATTAGTTGCGTGGATCACAGCCAGGAACAAGAGATACTGCCCGACACCTTCGTGCCACAGGATCATATCCCGGAGGAAACTCATCATATTACGCATGAGGTAAGCTGTCAGTCATTTCTAACTCTATGTTGTGTGCAGTAGGTGTTATTGTATATATATATGTTGTTATCCATATCTGGCATGGGTGTGATAAATCATTTAAGCGCGTGAGAGCCATGATTCGGCACGAATGGGTCGACCGGAGTAATACCACGGCCGAGCAGAAAACCATGGTGAAACAACCACAGCGTTGTGTTGCGTCGTGTGAGTGAGGTTACCGGAGGCCGAAGAGTAAGTTAGAAAATGTCGGCCTCATCGTTCGCTTGATAAAATTGACGTGTAAAAGTGCTTCCTTGAAGCCTATTAATTTGCAGAAATAAATTCACTTGTTTCACTAAGAAGTGTTCAATCAATCTAAAATGAATGTGATTTTAAATATTGAACTGCCGTAACTGTAAAACTCTCTTTCTTTATATGGATTGATACATAGTGTATGCTGTATTATTTTGTGTGCATATGAAAAAAAAAAAAATTAATATCGGTCTCTAAAAATGTCTATTGTTAAAATTTTATCCCAATTCTGTATTTACCTCTACTTACGATAATTTTCACGTGAGTTAAATTACTAGCATCTTGAAAATAAAACCATTTGTTTACTGAGTTTGTATTTTTATTCACTTTACCAAAACCTACACAAAGAACATGTGTGTAATATTGTCAATAGACCAGATGGACATTAAAATAAAAGTTTGAGAACTAAGTACCTTATTGTTTTTAGTCAGGTTAAATTTTAAGTTATATTATTGTAAACACTTCAAGCTTTTCTATAGTAACACATACTCTGTTTCTTAGATTATATTTACATGTACCTATTCATACGTTTCTTGGAATGTACTCTTAGATATTTTTTAGTGTCCGACCGAAACTGGTTTTCCGGCCGAAACCGAAACCGAATATTCGGTCGGGACTTCAGTTTCGGCCGAAACCGAAACTGACGAGGTCAACTTTCTGAACTGAAATTTGCTGCATTTTACCTATTATATTGTATAAATTAGGGTATGAAATGGAAACAAAGTATATATATATAATTAGTGTCCGACCGAATGTTCGGTTTCGTTTTCGGTCGAGTTTCGGTAAAAACACGAGTTACGGTTAAGTTTCGTTTTCGGCCGCAAACTTGCCGAAACTACGACCGAAACCAACCGAATATGAATTCGGGAGTTTCCGCGCTGTTATCGGTGTGTGCGTTACCCAAGCCAGATGTTGTCGACAATGGTCATTTGAGTCTTATAGATAATTAGTTGTGCGGCTTCAGTAATTGTTGCGCACATTTTTAAATTTGTTGCGCTTATAGTTTTTTAATTATTTCACAAAAACATTTCCTGCTGGGGTAACGTTACCGACCTTTTTCTTTCTAATGGGAATATTTAAATCATTACTAGCTATAAAATTAGTTATCTAGATGAAGTAAATTATTTTATTACTTAAATATTAAGTAACTACTGTTATTGTGATTATGATATTAGTAATTATGTGATTTAACTCGTCGAGTACCGGTTTTGTAGACACAATTATAGAACAATAGGTTGCGGTCACCGGTGACCGCTTGGTGTTTGACAGTTTAAAGAGAAAATAATAAAGACTGACTGATTATAATGACGTTTTCTTTATTTTCCCCTCAAAATACGAGCCTTATAAGGAAGTTTCGGTTTCCGTTTCGGCCGAAATAAACAACGTTGCCGAAATTCGGTTTCGGTTTCGGTCGTAAAACTAGTTTCGGTCGGACACTATAATCATTAAATATTATTAACATTTTTATATTTTTTTCATCACAGCATCACTATCAGTTCGCTTATCAAATCAGTAATTGTTACTATTTCATTAAATACTATATAAATATCGGTATTTTGAGATCTTTCCTTTTAATTTAACACATTCGGTCATCGGAATGAATAACTATGGCTTGATTTTAGTGTCCGACCGAAACTGATTTTCCGGCCGAAACCGAATGTTCAGTCGGTTTCAACGATTTGTTAAAAAATCAAAAGTTTCGAACGATTTTGCCCGAAACCGAAACCGAACTTACGGTCGGACACAAAATTCTTGTTATGAGGGCATGAGGGGGAAATCATCAAATGTCTTCCCAGGTCTTGGGAAAGCTTGTAATACCTGGCTGGTTTTAGACCTTTTTCCAAAGTTAAGTTCCATATAATATAGGTACTTAAGTAAGTGTTAAGTCCCTAAAACGAACTTAATACTTAAGTACCTAATTTTTTACTATATTTTTCAGTGATAAGACATCTTTTAATTTAACCTTTGACTATATATAATGTCAGTTTAACATATTTTTTGTTTATCAGTACCATAGGTGTACAATAATAGGTTTTCATTTACAACTACTTGATTTTCATAATTGAAATTATAATTTCTATCAAAGTTTCTATTATTTTTTACAAGTAAAGCACCTTCAGTACAGTACTTATACTAAGTAAAGCACATGGGTGGTGGTGGCCAACCAAACGTCAACTTAATAAGTAAAACTTCTAGACATCAAAACAATATTTTGTTTTGTGCCACAAAAAGACAATCTGTCTGTCATCTGTCAGTGCCAGACCGACATTTTGATATTTTCTGAGTGATGTCATGTCATTGTAGTTAAGTCAACAATTTATTAGTCGATTCTCAATTTAAAATAATCATCGTTTTTTTACTGCCTCGTTGGACGAGTGGTCGCAAGTGCGACGCCGGGCAAGGCGTCTTGAGTTCGATTCCCGGGCCGACCCGGTACTATTGGGTTTTTTAACAGAATCTCAGTAGTAGCACGGAGTTTGGAATTGTGCCCGGTACATGGCAATAGGCTCATTCCCTATTACATGGGACACAACACAAATAGTGAAAAGTAGGTGTTACATTGTACAGTGGCATTAAGTGCTCTAACGTGCACCTCTGCCGGGGTAGGCAGAGGTGCACATTATAGCACTTCGGGGATAAAAGGCGTGATGTTATGATGTTATGTTGTTTTTTAAATTGATTACTAAATTAAAGTGTATATTGAACTCATAGATGAAATTAAACAGATACTACTTTAGGTTTGAGTTTTATCTTTAATCAACCACAATTTAACAAAATCGACTAAAATTATGTTGATGTTCATCTCTATGGATTTTTTTTTATTTACACGACTTCAATCAAAACCAAAGAGTCTAGTGGGAAAACTCTGAATTCTTTTTATCAGACTCTTAGGGTAGGGCTTTGTTTGTGTAGAATTTTATTAAACTGTGAACAATGAATAGTTGTTTAATATGTTTTTGATTTGTCGTACAAAAAATTCTATAGAATAGTTAAAATAAATTATAAATAAAATTAGATAAATAATTAGTGACCTTGAGCGTAAGCAATACAGCTGTCAAATAACCTAACCAAGATTTTTGTAAAATAAAGATGAATACAAGTTTCTTTTGTGAACATTTAGTATATTTAACGTAGATATAGATAATTTGTTGCAATGGATGAAGCCGTCACGCATTATATAAATTCCCACCCAGCTGATGAGGTACGTAAATTATTATAATTTGATGTATTGTATTGTACTTTTTCATGTATCTTGTTTATTTAACTATTGATTTCTGAGTCCTAAATTTGAAACAATAAAATTGTAATCGTGTCTATTGAAGTGTATTTAAACATTGACATATTATATGTTTAGTTTACACAAAAGTTGTGTATTTTTCATGTTTATGTGTTTTGAAATTTGCATTATAATATATCTAGGGTTTTGTAAACAAGTTGTGGTGTATATCAGCTGATATTTTTGTTTACAGGCAGTGCATGTGGATGGAAATGCTTTGGCACTCGCATTGGTACAGGATGACGGTGGCAGCAGGGTGTCCATCATGCATTCTCAATCCTACTCCTCGTCGCTCTGCAGGTAATTCATTTAAAACCTTACTATAAACCATAGAAGGCTTAGGAAGATATATTTTTTGATATATAGGATACATAATTACATGTAAACAAACTACAGACCTATTAATATTAAAACCAATATTTTTAATGAGAATTACAGTGAAATTAATTTTTGTCACTATTATGTGTTTAGTTTGAAGCCTCTAGAGCAGTGAATTTTCCTATAAAAAAGTGGATTGTGAAATATTTCTGCTTAGTTACATCTAAGTATATAACTGTACTTTGTCTACTACAGCAGGCAGGTTACTCTGTCTGATCAAGTGGGAGATGGTCAGTGGAGTGAGGAGCTGGTGGATCCAGATGGCAGGATTGGAAGGCTGGCTGCTCTCATGGCTCATTTCCAGGCCCAGCAATCTAAGGGGCCACCACAGCTACACCATAAGGTATGCCACATAATATACTTGATACCTCTGGAATGGCCTTTAACTCGTACACAATCACCTGCTATAAATCCTAAAAATTGTTCATACGAAAGTAGTCTCTAAACATGGAAATAAGGTGTATAATGAAGTTATTGGAGGGCAGTCCCCGGAGACCACTTTTGGATGGGTCAGTTAACTGGTCTTCTGGCACTGTATGAAATATAATGGAATATAATATACTAATTATGGAATGGAATATGACATCATATAATATACTATCACAAAACACTGACGTGAAGCAGCACTTGCATTGTGTTTTGTCATGTGACTGAAGTTACTGGAGGTCCAATTACCCCCCCTCCCCTTCCCCAATCTCTCCAATCCCTGAATCCCCAACAATCCTCAAACTCCTAATCGCCAAAATGCCGGTAATGCACTTGGAACGCCAGAGGCGTTACATGGGCGACGCCGATTGCTTACCATCAGATGATCCGTCTGCTTGTTTACCAGATTATTCCATAAAAAAAATGATGCGTCGTCAAACAAGCAAACATACTCTTCAGCTCTATATAATTAAGATATTATTCTTTTACTTTCAGGTACAGGCAGTGAGAGGCGATGTGGATACGTCTATCATGCTTGATAACTCCATAAGGCTATTCCATGGCCAACCTATGGTGAGACCTATTATTATTTATTACTAGCTGGTTGTACCGACTGAAACTTTTTTCTCAACTTTCAACCTTCCCTAGACTTGTATGAATGTTTCATGATCAAAATTATTGAAATCGGTTCAGACGTTCACCGTTCTTGAGATTTAGCTAGACTAACGAACGGAAATACATTTATATATATATAAGATACATAGATACACTATAAATTAATAGTAAATAGTCTTTCATTAACTATTTACGAGAATTTTTTTCTTAAATAGTTATTTAAGCTGTTGACTGCTGACAGAAAACTGTTGAAGGCAAATTCTCTGCTATCGTGGCCCATATGTTGTCCCCCATGGTGTTCAACGTGTTAAAGCAGAACTAAATATTTTAGTATTTGCATAGTTATAAGTTATGTCATTATTGTCCCAGTAGTTGAAACATGAAGGTGTAGTACAGATATGAGGATACTTTTACATTTATTATAACAACTAGCAACCCGCCCCGGCTTCGCACGGTGCAGTTAGAAACCTCGATAAATGCGCTATCCAACACAAAAAGAATTTTTAAAATCAGACTTGTAGTAGCGCGTTCAAACAAAGAAACAAAATTATAGTATGATATAACATAAGAGAATAAGATATAATAGGTGAATTATTTGTAATTGTGTTTAATATAGTAAGAAAAAATGTACATTGTTGCAGGATCACTCTCCAGACCCAATGGTAGTGGAAGTTCCTCACTTGCCTCCGCTGCCACCCCTGCAGGAGATGAAGCGGTGCCAGGATAACGACTGGTTCAATAATAAGGCCAAATCATCACTTAAAGTGAGAATAAACCTCCTTTTAAAGTGCCTAAAATATTACCTCTAACCTTATGTTTATGAATTTTTGATAGTACATAGCAGCATTTATTACAGTTTTAACATTAATATATTTATTCGCGATTGCCTGAACCAGTATAACCGGTATATTGATGCGGTTTTAAGAAAAGTGTTTGTTACACTAGGAGAAGGTTTGAGTATACATATTAATTAAACGACTTCAAAAAAGAAAAGGAATTGAAGTCGGTTTTGTAAACTTAGTTTCTAAAAAATTACTTTATTTATTATTTATTTATTTATAAATAAATAAAAGAGTTATTTGATATCTTTAAATGTGACCGATAAATTAAATGTTGATAATATTTTTGTTCTCCTCCAACAGGATGATTCATCGATGATAGATTCCGATGGGCCGGTGTTAGAGTTAGGGGCGGGCGCATCACCTGGTCATCACAAACACCAGAACAAGAAAAGTCTTCCACATAAAAAGAGAATTTCTAGGAAACTGAAGAAAAATAATGGCAACTGCACGCCCCAGCAGGTCAGTGGATAAAAATTAATAATTTACTATGAATTTCAAAATTATCTAAAACTTACCTAAGATCTAGAAATGCCTCCCGACTTGAGTAATGGGGCAACCGTAAGCGTGGGCCTGCGGCCGGCGAGCATGGGTAGCTCGCCGCCCGACCAGAACCAGACCCGAGCGAAGGGCGCGTCGCGTTCCGCGCGCGCCTTAAAGAGCCATCAGACCACCACGGATGGGCCCAATAGGGCTGATGCCGATACGGAACTGCGGAAGCCTTAACGCGTTACCGTGGCTCTGGCTTGAAGCAGAAGTAGGAATGGGTGGTTTTCAGTCACTAAGAGTCTAACACTTCCTCTCGCCCCACCCGAGGCGATTTTCCTCCTAAAAAAAGTTAAGCATTTTGAGCAATGGGCTCTCAGTCAAAAACTATTGACGTTGGGTTTGTCCATTCAAATCTCAAGTATTAAGGTTCCTTATAGGCAAGCATGCTTTATCGTTGGTCGCATCACTACTTCACACCAGGCAAGAATATCTTATAGATCAATCACACCTTTTAATAAGTCAAAGTCAAAATCATTTATTTCAATTAGACCAGGAAGGCACTTTAGAACGTCAGCAATAGAAATTTAAAAGTGAAGCTATTTGCTCATTCCAAGGTGTAGATTCCTAAGGAGAAGAACTAACAAGAAACTCCATAGGATACTCATTTCCAATCAGGTTAACAGTACAATTCTCCAGTTACACAGTTTTATTGGTTTGATTGTGCGAGAACAATGTAACACCAAAATGAGAGAAAGAGTCAAAGAGATCGATACCTAAAGTATAGTCCACTATAACACTCATTTAAATAGTATGCGTGCATTGTATGCTTCTGTGACAATTTGTATTATTTAAAGAAAGAAAGAAAGAAAAACCATTTATTATGTGTACCTTTAGCTATTCCCTCGGGGTTACAAGGCGCTGTATGTTTTATGTCCCTCGTAATAGAGGCCTAGAGGGTGAGCCTATTGCCTGTGAACGTAAAATAAATGAACTTATCAGGATCTGGTGGTCATCAGCTGCACAGACGTGGAAGGTCGCATTAGTTGCGTGGATCACAGCCAGGAACAAGAGATACTGCCCGACACCTTCGTGCCACAGGATCATATCCCGGAGGAAACTCATCATATTACGCATGAGGTAAGCTGTCAGTCATTTCTAACTCTATGTTGTGTGCAGTAGGTGTTATTGTATATATATATGTTGTTATCCATATCTGGCATGGGTGTGATAAATCATTTAAGCGCGTGAGAGCCATGATTCGGCACGAATGGGTCGACCGGAGTAATACCACGGCCGAGCAGAAAACCATGGTGAAACAACCACAGCGTTGTGTTGCGTCGTGTGAGTGAGGTTACCGGAGGCCGAATTTCCCTCCCACTTTCCAATCTCTCCAATCCCCGAATCTCCAATAATTCTCAAATTCCTAATCCCTAAAAGGCCGGTAACGCACTTGTACAACACCTCTGGTATTTAGAGTGTCCATGGGTGACGTCGATTGCTTACCATCAGGTGACCTGTTTGCTCAACTGGCTCATTCCATAAAAGCAACTGCTTTATGTCATGTGCGATAAGATAAAATTTTGGATAAAATTGTGGCAGTAATTGCCTGCGACATTAAGTCCACCTATTGTACGCTTTGTGCATGAAGCATATTAAATAAATAAATACGTAATTTCCTAAAGTGAACTTAAGTAAATGAATAAGTATACTGACCTGTCATTGTACTGAACAAGCTTGAAACAAATAAGCTTCTAATTAACATAAATGTGCATGTCTCTTAATTTCTAAGGCATCGAAATGAGTCTATAATCTTGTTTAACTATTCTAAATGTTATCACTTTCTGTATGTACAGGTTCGTCCGATATTTATCTGCCAGCTGTGTGGCGAGTTCTACGGCGAGGAGCAACTGAAGTTCTACCAACATCTGAAGCAGCACTATGAACCCCACATCATTATTGAGAACCCAGTACCTGATCTAGGAATTGATAAGGTGGGAACATAATAATCCTGTTTATTTAACGATATCCACATGTGTTGATTTTTAGTCATACATCTTTAAAAATACAACAACATTATAGAAATCGTGCCTATTTATAATCGTGCCCACAGATAACAAACTCGTGCATCGTAGACAACGTGACCACTATCCCTGACTCCATAGTAGAACTATCTCTAGAAAATTCTATACCAAAAACTATGTACCAGCCCATGGACAAACAAGTGCTGTACACGACAAGCGATAAGACGTTCACGTACAGTAACAATAAGGTACAATATTCTATGGCAAGTATGGACAAGGATCAGCCGAGCGTGGTACAAGAAGTTGAGAAAGCAGATTTGTATGAAACTTTGGATAAACTAGACCTGTACACTTGTGGGAAGTGTAACAAGGCGTTCAGGAAACAGAAACAGTGTGAAGCGCACATTAAGGAGGCACATTCTAATATGAAGGTCAGTTTGGATGCTTTAACACATGTTGCTTTCGTTGTATTTAATGACATGGACCTCAGAGCTCAGTATTGTCCTTGTTGTGTGACAAACTAGATCTGGTGGTAATAATTTCCCTCATCCCTCTTAATATAACCAAGGGGTGCTACTGTTAGTATTAAAACATTTACTAAGGGATGTGTTGTAGCATTATTACATTTTTTGCTGTGACTCAAGCTGCCTTCCAGGCAGGAATCATAAGTGCCTCCACTTTCTTCAGTAGTGGACGGTTTCCAGTTGATAATGGTAGCTTTTAATAACCATGTCACTTATTTACTCTATAGGATAGTAAAACCAATTCCTCAACCCTTGCTCCTCAGTTGGAGGACATGGGTGAGTTCAGTGAGCCGGAGGACTTGATGGAAGGAATCCACGTGGCCGTGGAGGAACACAACGAGCACTACGACCACCCACTCCTGCCACACCTCACCATCGAGAACGGGTACGCTCACCAGGACAACGCCCGGCACTGGTCAGTCTATTTATTACTGCTCTGTTTTGTCCCGTTTCGTATGTTTTTCTTTCAAAATCCTTCTCCTGACAAAAGCAAACACAAGAATAAAAGAATTAGTGAACTCGGTCTAGCCATTCACCCGTGATGCCGTGACCAAGGGAGAAAGGGATTCATTTATATATATAGATTTAACACCGTAAGAATTATTGGATGAAGATGGAGAGTCCTCAATCAAACCAATCAACTTTTCAGTTGTTCTCTTCAAATGGCTCGTGACTTTACGTCTCTGTGCTTTTTAATTGAAGTAATCGTTATCATAAATGAATAATGAAGTACATATTATTTGAAGAATAACAAAAGTTTTCATTCTGACTAGGTACGGGCGCAATACAAACGGGCCGGGCTCTAGTTCGGGTCCCCCGGTGACGAGCCAGGCCAGTAGCGCGGGGCCCAGCGGCGGGGGCCCGGGGCCCGGCGACGGGGCCCCCGCCTGCTGTACTACTTGTACCACTGCTCCACAGGACACACAGAATGTCAAGATGATCAAAGGTAAACATTTCGGATATTGCTTTTGTGTGATTGTGAAATCTCTTTCATTTCTTAAATATAAGATACCTCACACCTCGCGGAACCAGACTGACTTGTCAGTCTAAATATTGTAATGTGCAACAGATTCGTTTATTTCTTTGATTATAAGTAAATGGTTCTCTATTTTGATATATTTGTCGCATAATGTTCTCGTTAAGTCCATGTCATTGGTAGGAGGCGACAATTACGTGGGAGTATGGGACTTGTAACGTTTACTTGCGCGTTAAAAATTTGTCTCTACTCTTCCGTGGTATAAAAGGCGTATTGTTATTTATATATTATGTTTCTTCAACCAGACGAAATACTACGACGGATTTTGGAATCGGAAGTAGCGAGTCCAAACTTCCCGAACCATATAATGGGGGGCGCGAGCGAGGCACCCGCGACCGACGCGCCGGAGCCCGAGCCGCCCGCGCCGCCGCCCCCCACTGAGGACAAGGCGGAGCCCGACACTAAGAAGAAACAGAAGACCTTTGAGTGCCAGCAGTGCCAACGAGTGTTCCAGCACAGGAACAGTTTGTTATACCACGTCCTCTCCCACAGTGGGAAGCAACATGTCTGCCGCGAGTGCGGGAAGGGATTCTATACTATGGGAGCGCTCAAGGTGAATACTTCAGTTTCTTTCAGCATGTTTTCTACAATCTGTATCTGTATTAGTTTACTGCTCGTATCCAATTTCTGCAAGCTATTTTCTGATATATAAATTATTCCGAGTAATATCATGATTCCGATTGTTCCAGATCCACAAGCGAGTCCACAACGGCGACCGTCCGTACAAGTGTGAGATATGTGGCCGCGACTTCCGACAGTGGAGCGACCTCAAGTACCACAAGGTCTCCATACATTCCGACCAGGTCAGAACATTGACTTACTTCTTGACTTAATATCCTGTGTCCCCTAGATGGGGCAGAGGGCGTCCACTGAAGTTCTCCATCGCGATCTGTCTTGAGCTTCACGCTTCACCTCACTCCACGTCATACCGATGCTCGTCGCTTCTGCCAGTACGGTGCGACGCCAGGTTTGCCGAGGACGGCCACGCTTTCTTTTCCCTTGGGGATTCCAATCCAAGGCTTGCTTGGGTATGTGGTTAGAATCCCTTCGGAGCGTGTGCCCTATCCATCCCCACTTGCGGCGCTTGATCTGGCAGTCGATTGGGTTTTCGTGGCATTTCTCCAAAAGCTCTACGTTAAAATGGTCTCGGGCCAGTAAATTCCGAGAATTCGACGCAGCCATCGGTTAACGAAGACTTGAAGTTGGCGTGAGATGTCTTTAGTCACCTTCCACGTTTCGCACCCATAGAGCAGAACGGATTTTACATTGGACCCGAAGACTTTCAGTTTTATCCTTCGGGTCAGTTTCCGTGACTGCCACACAGGTCTCAGCTGCGCGAAAGTAGCTCGGGCTTTGGCGGTCCTTGAAGTGATGTCCTCTTCAGTACCTCCAGTCTCTGACACGACGCTCCTGAGGTAGGAAAATTTGTGGACACGTTCCACTGCGTCTGTGCCAATCAGCAACGGTGTAGTATTCTTCAAACCCGTTCTTTGGTCTTTCGGGTGTTAATTCTCAGGCCAGCTTTTGCCGCCTCCTGCCGCAGGTTGTCCAATTTTGCTTGATTGTCGGCGTGGGTATGACTCAGCAGGCATAGGTCATCGGCGTAATCCAAATCTTTCAAGAAGTTGGATAATCCCCACTCAATGCCGCGGCGCCGATTGTCAGTGGTGCGATGCATGATCCCATCCAGAACGACCAAGAAGAGAAGCGGTGATAAGAGGCAGTCTTGTCGGACACCCGGTCAGAACATTGGCACATACTTTAATGACACTCGTACTCTGAAACTATTAAGTAACATCAAGTAATGTCTACCCAGCGTATTCATGTGTGCTATTGAAACGATGATCGACTAATCTCGAGCAGTACTGGCATACGACGTGTGGATCAGTTGGTAGCAACTTCACACAGTCATCAAAACGTCGCACACTCAATAAACGTTCAAAATACACGCAGGCTGTGATGAAGATTTCCGGTGTAACTCGAAATTAGTCGGACATCCATGAAAATAGTACTTATTCGAAGGGTTTAATTCGCTAGTAATGTAAGTGTAATAATATTTGTTGACAGAAATCGTTCAAATGTGAGTTCTGCGGGAAAGAGTTTGCTCGCAAGTACTCACTGAACGTGCACCGGCGCATCCACACGGGCGAGCGCAACTACCCCTGTCAGTACTGCAACAAGACCTTCAGCGCGTCCTCCTACAGGCTCTCGCACATGCGCACCCACACCGGGGACCGCCCCCACCAGTGCAGCACCTGCGGCAAGGCCTTCCGCGTCCGCGGGGACCTGCGCCGCCATCTCGCCACCCACGACCGGCGCCCGCCAGACAAGCCCCGCCCTGCCAAACGAGACGAACACGTCGAAGAAGACATGAAACTTGAAGTCTCCAAAAACATTACAAACATTAAAAAAATCGCCCTCGCCTCCACCGCCAAATCCTCCACCGTTCTCAAGACCGCCGAGAAGAAACCGAAACCTAGTAAAAAGAACCAGAGCGCCAAGAAGGGCGCGCCCAACGTGACCATAGACCAGCTCGACGACAGTTACACCAACACCGTCGAGGTCTGCGACACCCGGCAGCCCGTCCACAACGACAAGTACAAGGGGCAGTCGGCGGGCTACAAGCACGACGCCGGCTACAAGCACGACGCCGGCTACAAGCACGACGCCGGCTACAAGCCCGGGCCCGGGCTCAAGCAGGAACACCAGCAGGAGGGCTCGCTCGCCGTCCTGCGGCCCATGTACAGGTACAGCGCGGAGCCCGCGGCCGAGGCGGCGCCCTACCGCGCCAACACGGACGGCAAGATGCAGGTGTACACGCACGTGGACAAGGCCGCGCTGGCCGAGCGCCCCGACCTGCCCGGCGAGGCGGCCGAGAACGAGTTCATCGAGCGCCTCACTGCGCTCTACAACATCCCTGCTGTATGACTCCCTGTGATACTGCTAGGCCGCGCTGGCCGAGCGCCCCGACCTGCCCGGCGAGGCGGCCGAGAACGAGTTCATCGAGCGCCTCACTGCGCTCTACAACATCCCTGCTGTATGACTCCCTGTGATACTGCTAGGCCGCGCTGGCCGAGCGCCCCGACCTGCCCGGCGAGGCGGCCGAGAACGAGTTCATCGAGCGCCTCACTGCGCTCTACAACATCCCTGCTGTATGACTCCCTGTGATACTGCTAGGCCGCGCTGGCCGAGCGCCCCGACCTGCCCGGCGAGGCGGCCGAGAACGAGTTCATCGAGCGCCTCACTGCGCTCTACAACATCCCTGCTGTATGACTCCCTGTGATACTGCTAGGCCGCGCTGGCCGAGCGCCCCGACCTGCCCGGCGAGGCGGCCGAGAACGAGTTCATCGAGCGCCTCACTGCGCTCTACAACATCCCTGCTGTATGACTCCCTGTGATACTGCTAGGCCGCGCTGGCCGAGCGCCCCGACCTGCCCGGCGAGGCGGCCGAGAACGAGTTCATCGAGCGCCTCACTGCGCTCTACAACATCCCTGCTGTATGACTCCCTGTGATACTGCTAGGCCGCGCTGGCCGAGCGCCCCGACCTGCCCGGCGAGGCGGCCGAGAACGAGTTCATCGAGCGCCTCACTGCGCTCTACAACATCCCTGCTGTATGACTCCCTGTGATACTGCTAGTTACTAATTCCACTTTAGCATTACCGTTGCTGCTGAGTTAAGGCGCTACTTAGCCCGTTTTTTATTCATTAGAAGCAAAACCGGATACGACCTCGTATCGTAAGACTAATATATTTCTAAGACTGCTATGAAATACGATCTTCATATCCCTTTTTGCTAAATATTTATAAAAAACGCTTAATTTTTTTATTTGTTAATATAAGATAACCGAGCTGAAGTCTAGGTATGTATCTTCCTGAGCTGTGTAGCGCCTAGAAGCGATTAGTGGCATACAAATAACTTAGGACCAAATTACTTCAAATTATAAAAGTGAATTAATTACTTATTATAAATACTAGACTAGATTTGTACTGCTTTGTTAGTATTTATTAGTATTTTATATCGGCACGGGTCTTACACGAGACAATGTTATGAACTTAATAAAAATAAAAATATAATATAAATTGTCCTGCTAGGGATGCTATCATAGCAGAAGTTTGTTATCCTAGTTGAATGACTTAAAAGATTTTAAACTACAACTGCTGAGTATTGTTACCGTTGAAACATAGCGAATATTCCGCGTTATAAGAGCGCGGCATACAAAATGAGCGTATGATCATGTTACTAAATGAGCTACACGAAGTGTTACGTTGCACAATAGACGTTGTTGTGATAGTAGAACAGCAATGAAATAGGTATACATTATTTTTGATTGGTGTAAGTGAATTTATCTAAGTCGAATGTTTGTGTGTCAAGATGTTGAAATGAGTTCTATCGAATATGTCGAACTTTTCTTCTTTTGTAGAAATTCAATCTATAAAAATAATATATGAGACGAGTATCTTCTCAAAAAAAAAGTAATTCAAGTCTTGCGGAAAAATCTTTCTGGTACCTCGATAGTTTTGTTCCAGTACTTGCGCAAAAATCTTCTTATTACTTGCGCAATAGTCTTTTAGTACTTGCGCAAAAATCTTCTTATTACTTGCTCAATAGTCTTTTAGTACTTGCGCAAAAATCTTCTTATTACTTGCGCAATAGTCTTTTAGTCCTTGCGCAAAAAATAAAATACACAAACTTTCGATTTAAACGATCACTAACACTAATCAATAAATGAGGCCTCGTCATCCGAAATATTAGCAATTAGTCAAAAACGTTGTGTTATTTATATATTTAGACATGTTCTTATTTAATGATCAAATACATAATATGGAGAATATTTACTTATAAAAACAGAATGAAGGTGACCTCTGAAATGTTCTGTAAATACTATGGAATAGAAATGTCTAGCAATGTGCTGAAATAAAAGACTGAAAAATTATTTTATTGTACTTGCAAAATAACTTAGGCGTAATGTTTTACTTAATATAGTTCACGCATAATTTACCACGGAATAATAAATTGTTTATAGTAAACTGTAGTGACACTTGTGATGACCGTCTAGAGGATATGAAGTGGGTACTATTAAAAAAAATTGTTTATGGGACCGAGACAGGGACCACACAACTGTTCTGTAGTGTTGAAACCTCGGGATAGATGGCTCTAGTTAACTTTTATAACATTTAGTAACTGATGTTGAATTAAAATTACGACTGTACTATGAGGTATAGTGCTCACCGGCAAATACACGGTGAAGATACTGAAAATAACTCAATTTAAAATAGACCCTAGCTGCTATGGCATACGGATGATGATGATGATGCCGAAGATCGATTTTATTGGGAGACGCGCGATGCGTCCTGCATCTTCATTGGCATGCCGTTTTCAGCCGTATATCATAGTAGGTAAGGTTAAATTGATTTATTCTCAGTATCTTCCCCACGCCTCCGCTGGTGTGCCTTAGGAGCAGGCTTTGTCTCGGTTGCTTAACTCAATGGCACTAATTTTATTCTTGTACCTTTGTAGTTGATTACCTAAAAGCAGGAAGCAAGGATTCCTGAAGCATGTATTTAAATGTCTTTAGTAAACACAAGAAAATGTTGCAATAAAAGTTTTGTAACGTATTTCTTGATTTTTTAAAAATTAATTATATTATTATGTATATTTGGAAAAGGGGTTGTGCCCTGGTGGTGCCCTGTTTCTAAACAAACACCTGTATTAAAGCAATCCCTTTGGTATAAGCACCCTAAATGGTCAAATGCCATGTTATGTGTACCCTACTCAGTCCAGAGGGCGAGGTTTCTTTTACGATTAAAGTACGCGTTCGGCACTCTGAGGGCTTAGTACGAATTTGTTTTACGTGGAAAGTGATCGAAACAAATACGCATTCGGCGCTCTGATTGGTTGGTTTATTGGAGCCGGCCAATCAAAGCAGCGAACGCGTAGGTACTCGTTACGATTACATTAAACGTAAAAAAAATCGTACTAAGGCCTGTAATGAACCAGCCAATGTCGTGGTGGCCCGGAGGCTTCAGACGCCCGCTCATACCTGTGAGTGCGGGTTCCAAACCTAACAACGGCAAGTACCAATGTGACTTTTTCCGAGTTATATGTACTTTCTAAGATTATCTAAACACCAATGACAAACGGTGAAGGAAAACATCGTGAGGAAACCTCGGCTTATAATTTCTAATTATAAGTTTGAAATTGCTAACCCGCATTGAGCAAGCGTGGTGATAATGCTCAAACCTTCTCCGTGCTCGAAAAGGCCTTTGGTCAGCAGTAGCCACTTATAGGCTGTTGATGTGAATGAATCAACCGATCAGAGCGGCGACGGCGGTCTCGGTTCGATTACTTTAATCGTAAAACGAACTCATACAAAGGCCTCAGATATAGACGCAATAGCTTGCAATTATCAGAAGATCAAGTTAATGATAGCCACACACAATAGATTTTCACAGTATTATTTATACTTGAACAAATTCACTGTCAATTTGTTGTCCTGAATGCTAATTCATAGAAAAGGAACCGGTGTAACATGGCCTTATTGGGCCACACATACAAACATACATATTACACTTTTTATTATATAAAGCTGAACAGTTTGTTTGTTTTTTTGAACGCACTAATCTCAGAAATTACTGATCCGATTTGAAAAACTCCTTTTGTGTTGGATAGTCCATTTATCGAGGATCACGGCTTACTATTCTTTGTGGGAATCAGAAACTATAAATGCTGATGTTCAGATTTGTTTATTTTATTTTTATTTTCAGTCCTGCTCGTCCCACTGCAGGGCAAAAGCTTCCCTTATCACCTTCCACCCCTCTCTATGTAAAGCTTTTTTAACATGTAATTCGAGCTATTTTCGTTAACTAAGTTCGAAAGGAAATAGTGTTCTAAGGGTGTGGGTTCAATGTTACATTACATGTTCAACGTTACCTAAAACTACACTATTTAATGCCCATTATAAAATTTGATAAAAATCGGTCTTTTCTGATCTGGCCATGTTCAGTCCATAATTACAAGTTATAACTTATATGTATGACCTTCGAAATGAGACAATTTTATCACAGTGAAATGTATAGCTTTATAAAAATAAATAATATTAATAATGGGTCGCCATTACAAAGTCTTCTCAAGATGTGTAGTTTTCTTTTGTCCTATATTCTAATAGTGAGGTTTCTTCCATTAAGGGTCGATTTTTTCAACGCCAGATTTTAACTGAAGAATAACTATGAATATTTGTCATTTTTTCTGTACCAAAAACAGTCAACTGTCAATTTTATTCTATAGTTCAGAATTAACTGATTATTGAAAAATCGTAGGTTTCTGCGACTAACCCAATGCACTCAGTTTTGGGTGTACTGAGGTGGTAATACGAATTTGTCTCGTCGACTTCAAAAAAAAGGAGATTCTGAGTTCGACCTATATGTATGTAGGTATGTAATACGATTGAGCTCTATTGGCTAAACCGATTTTGATGAATCTGGTATTCAGAAGTGTTTGCTACATCTAGGAGAAAGTTTTATTTTATTAATTAACAGACTTCAAAAAAGAGGGGGCTTAAGTCGGTTTGCTTAGATATAGTTTATAAAAGAATTATTTCACGTATTACGTTTAACATGATCGACATGATTGTGACATTCGACGCTTCGATTGGCCAGCTCGTAATGTTGCGATATCGATATACATGACAAATTCGTAGTACTACTTGCGCTGTGGCTACGGTTGCGCTTCTTGTCGTGCGATTACAAACTTATTAGCGATTGAAGATTTATTCGTATAAGAGGAAACAATTTATTTTTGATTGAGGAAACATTCCTATTAGATTAACATCATTTAACCAGAAAAATGTTTGTGAAACAGGACGCAATAACCTAATTTGTAAGATGTCATAAAGTGATGGACAGCACTGTCACATATTTCTTTGAGATTGAGTCACAAATATGTCGTATCGTAGCCGTGTTGGCGGCGCGGCGTAAAGTTTCTATAAGTACTATGATTTCTGTCACTGGAGAATTAAAATGTTAAAAGCGAATATAATTTACTTACAGCCTTTTACTTTCCTTGTGTGTACTGCTAAAGAGTGGAATTCTTTGCCAGAGTGTATTTCCTGAAGGGTATAACATGGGAGTCTTCAAGGCCCGAGTGAATAGGTTGCTTATGGGACGATGTGCTCCATCGTAGACCGCATCATCGGGCACCACCCGTCGAGATAGTGGTCAAACGTCGCCCCATCAAATATAAAAAAGCTTAAATTAATAACCAAATTTAATACTAAATATCTATCTGGGTTTTTGTAAATAATTCAGTAAAACTTATATGTATTCTACTACCGACCCGTGGGTTAAAAAGTACCCTATTGTTATTCCAGACCATAATCTACCCCTGTTTCGAATTTCATCCCGATTGCTTCATCAGTTTTGACGTGTAACAAACATACACACAAAGTCACACTTCCGCATTTATAATATTATAGTAGGTATACTCGTAAGATAGTCGTCAGTCTCAATGAGTTCAGTTATTACGATTATTAATAATAATAGTACCACATTAAACGATTCTATACCTACCATCAAGAGGTCTTCCAGTTTGTAACACAAAATAACAATTAACTCGTCGAGTACCGGTTTTGCAGA